GCAGGCGGCAAAACCACTGAGCTAACCCCCCGGCCCCAAATTATTATTTTTTAAATTAATTAGATGTATAGTTGTTAGTTATGCCTTCCTGAACCCTTTTAAAGAAATCTGTCACATTAAAAACTTTTGTTTTTCAATTTGTAGTTGTTAACCTCAGGTAGAATTAAGAACCTTAAGCCTTTTTTCTAAAAATCCACTTACTGTGTCCAAAGGATAGGGATTTGAGGTTTAACTTTATTCCTTGAGTCAACAGAAGATTTGTGTAACTTGTGGCATTTTGTTTGGTTAGTATTTCTACTAGGCCCACGGTCCTTTTTAGCAAAGTTAACTTTTTTTTTGGTACCAGGGATTGAACTTGGGACATTGTGCTTGCGAGGCAGCGGCAACTGAGCTAAATCCCCAGCCACTTATTCTTTTTATTTCTTAGGATTATTCCGATAAGAAAAAAATCACATAAGGCAAAGGAACTTATTTTATACTGTGATACGAAGGGTTTTTCCTATTTTCTTTTTGGTTTGTTCAGGCTGGCCATTGCACTCACTATATGGTCCAGGCTGGCCTCAGACTCAGGAAGATCCTCCTGCTTCAGTTCCCCAAGTGCCAGGATTATAGGTGTGTGCCACCACACCTGGCTCCTATTTATTTTTATATTTGTGGCTTGTTCTGCTTATGAAAAGAGAGTAATACATGTATGTGAGAATCTGGGTGAGCTTATTGGGTTTCAAGTATGTAAGTCTATCTTGGGAGCCAGGTGAGGTGGTGCACACCTGTAATCCCACCAGTTGGGAGGCTGAGGGAGGAGGATTGCTGTGAGAATTAGGTCACCTTGGCCTACATAGTGAGTTCAAGGCCAACCTGAACTATGTAGTGAGACCTTGTCTCAAAAAAACAAAATGTAAAAAAAATAAAAATGTATCTTGGGCCTTTTCTTCTTGAAAAGGTAGAAAGCCATTTTTTTTATAAGTTCCCTTTGTGGTCTTCATGTCACACTGTAGTGATGGTGCTTGCTTTGTAAGATTTGGTGAGACCTAGGTGAAGTAATTACGTGCTTAGAATAGTCCCTGGCACATAGGAGACATTCTTTCTTTTTTCCTCTTTCTTTCTTTTCCTTTCCCCCTCCCTCCATCTCTCTCTCTCTTTTTTGGAACCGGGGATTGAACTCGGGACCTTGCACTTCCCAGGCTGGTGCAGCACCACTGAGCTACATCCCTGGCCCTTCCCTCTACCTCTTGATCCCCTTCCCATTTGAGAAAGATTTATCTCCTTATTTCCTGTTATCTTTTATTTTTCTCTTTGTTTGTAATTTGAGTTTCTCATATAAGAGAAACAATGTAATAATTAAACTTGTGTGTCAGATTTATTTCACTTAAAATTATGGTCTCAGGGTGCATCCGTTTTTCTACAAATCACTCGTTTATTTTTCTTTATGGCAGAGTAGTACTCCATTGTGTACTCTTTTGATGCTGAGTGTTGTTATCATCATCACCACCATTGCTGAAGTTGTTATTGCTATTGCAGTATGTACAGAAGCATTTCTCCCTCCTTCCTTGCTTCTCAGCCCATCACATGGAAGGAATTTGCAAACATCCACCCTTTTGTGCCTCTGGATCAAGCTCAAGGATACCAGCAGCTCTTCCGAGAGCTTGAAAAGGATTTGTGTGAACTCACAGGTTACGACCAAATCTCTTTCCAGCCCAACAGGTGAGGGGCTTGCTTGTCTTATTACTTGTCCATTGTTGTGCAGTGGTCACCCCAAACCTAAGATGCTTAAAACAGCAGTTTTTTCTGTATCATTCTGTGAATTCACTGGACAGTTCCATTCCACTGGCCTGTACTGGGCAGTATTACTGCCCAAGATGGCCTCATTGACATAGCTGGAAAGTTGGTGACGGTTTTTGTGGGGAGTGTGATGGAGGTGTCAACCAGACCTTCCTTCTTCTCAGTAAGGGCCTTTCCCTTTTTCCTTGAGCTTCCTCACAACATGGTGTCTCGGCTCAGTGGGGTGTTCCCAGGTGAAGCATGCAGAGCCACTCGCTAGCTCGCCTCTCAGAGCCTAGCCCCTCATTGTGCAGCCCTCACTTTCAGAGCCCTGAAGCTGGGAAAGCAAGCCACAGTCCCAGTCCTGAGCCCTGGTGGATGCAAGTGTCAGGGGAGGCCAGCTCTGGAAACTCATTGCAGTTCCTGTCAATGAGGGTCCAGCACTTGTGTTAGTTCCTCACCAGCAGCAGTGTTTCCATCCTGAAGGACTGGGAGCCTCGTCCTGCTCTGGTTCTGTCTTTCCCCTCTTCCAGCTTCATTATCTGTGAATGAAAAACTTCAAAAGCAGATGACTCCAGCAAAATGTCTTGGATACTTGCTAAAAATACAAATTCCTGGGCCTTACTCCAGGGTGACTGTGATCTCCAGGGCTGGAGACCAAGAATCTTTACTGTAAGAAACAACCAAGTGACTGAGTGATTCTCTCGGGGACAGAGGCAGAAGGGCAAACATGATGGGTGTGTGAGCTGATGTCTCACAGTGCCCGCCCTCAGAGTCTGCATCCCACGATGAGAGTGGGTTCTCTACCACAGCCTCAGTCTTGGCAATCACCCCGGCAGTGATTAATGAAGAATTTCAAACAGTTTTTAAAAATTAGACACATGTATTGTGTTACTTTCTAAGACAGAAATCATATATGTCTTAATCAGAACCAGACCTCTCTTCCTCTTTGGAAACGTAGGTTACACAGTAGAGCCGTGCACTTTGCAAAGGCAGTGAGGGTGTAGGGCCAGTGAGAGGACACAGCACCCTTAGCCTCTCAAACTCATTTCATAAATAGGAAGGAATGAATAGAAAGTTAAGCTTTGGTGTACTTTATTGAAAATTCATCATTCAGCTGGGCAAAATGGTTCATACCTGTAATCCTAGCACTCTGGGAGGCTGAGGTAGGGGGATCATAAGTTTGACCTCAGCCTGAGCAATTTAACAACTTAGACCCTGTCTCAAAAACACAAACAAACAGCTTTTATCATTAGCTCTTGCAGGGAGTTGAGGCCCCAGCTGGATCACAGAAGGCTGACCTAAGTATGAGAAAGTTTGCCTTCCCTTAAGGCGGTGGTTCCCAGCCTTGACTGGAAATTAGAATCACATGCTGTCTTTATAGGATACTGTACCTGATGCCCACATCACAGTCCCAGATTGAATTATAACCTCAGTGGGGGACCACTACAGTGAGGGATGGGACTAGGGCATGAGTGCTTTTTTAAATCCCCCTAGGTCAGTGATGGCGAACCGTTTAGAGCTTTAAGTGATACAGACTGCCTCTGCAGCATGCGTGCCATAGGCTCGCCACCACTGCCCTGGATGATTCCAATGTGTAACCAGGATTGAGAACCCCATCTTATAGATTTTGTTGTTTTCCCAGTATCCCTGATACTCTTTGTCCCGATTTCCTCATTCTTATGATTGACAGTGATAGTCAGTCTGCTGTCCCAGTCTTACAGGAGAGTAAGGAAATCTTTCTCAGGATGTACTTCCGGGCACTGATGCCTTCCCCAGCTCCCGAGAGTACCAAGTGTAACAACCATTTTCGAGAGCTGATCTGAAGGTCTTGGGGTTGTGTACAGCCTGGGCTTAGCTGAGATATTTACGGCCCTCAGCAGAAGCTGCTGGGTCTGACGGGGAAATGCCCGACTCTTTGTTGGGAAAGTATAGTGGCTATGCTTTCACACATAAAGCAATGCATTGATTTGGGGAAATGAAGAAAGAATATACCTCATCTTCTATATGTGAGTGAAGTGTTTTTGTTTGGTTTGGTTTTGGTTTTTCTGTTTTTACATTGTTACAACCTCGTTTTGGTTTATATGTGCTAATCTCTGCATGAATGGATTACAGATTCTTTGCCGGATACTTACTCTGTATATACCCAAAAGTTGTCTGTGCGTTGATTAATTCATCATATTTACTGATAGCTAGTGTCCTCTAAAATCTAGGGACTTGTATGGGTTTCATATTTATTATAAGAAGTTAACTCTGAGGAAAGTTTCTTGACTAACTCTGAGGAAGAATTTAGTGTATGCTGTCAGCTGTTGAACTTATACTCACAGAGGGTATGGGGACAATTTTCAAGGAACCATTTATATCTTACTGGTATTTTCATTTATACCTAAGTGGAGCTGGTCAGTGCATCTATAGAGTTCTAGAGTTTAGCCAAAAACCAGTTTTGAATCTGAGTACGTTTCCTTTTTGTGTTACTATATGATGTTTAAAATGTAAATACAGCATAATTTTAGAAAGTAGCCTTAGTAGTATTTTTTCAAGTCTAAAATTTTTATAGTTCTTATAAAATTTACCACATGAACCATTTTTTCAAATTCAGAGGCATTTAGTACATTTAGATGGTTGTGCAATCATCACCACCATCCACCTCCAGAATTTTTATCTTCATAAATCTAAGCTAACTCCTTACTTTGTACTCTGCCTAGCACTGGGAAAATTACCCTTCTAGTTTTCCTAAGAATTTGGCCACTCTAAGCACCTCATCTAACTGAAAGCACACAATATTTGTCCTTTGACATCTGGCTTACTTCACTCAACATAATGTCTTCAAAGTTCATCAATTTTTTTCCTTTTCTTTTTTTCCTTTGGAGAGAGGATCTCACTGTGTAGTTCAGGCTGGTGTTAAACTCTCTATGTAGCCCACTGTGCTACACTGAGCTCAAGGCAATCCTCCTGCCCCAGATTCCCTGCTCATGTGATTACAGGCATATGCCACCACACCCAGCTTAAAGTTCATCAATGTTATAGGAGGGGCCGGAGATTTAGCTCAGTGGTTTCACCGCCTGCTGTGCAAGTACAAGGACCGAGTTCGATCCCCGCTACCAAAAAAAGAAAAAACAAATGCTGCGATAGCAGTTACAATCAATGTTATAGCATGTGCTAGAATTCCATTTGAAGGCTGAGTATTTCATTATACATATATACCACACTTCGTTTATCTATTTAGCCATCAGTGGACATTTGATTGTTTCAACCTTTTAGCTGTTGTGAATAATGCTGCTGTGAATGTTGGTGTACAAATATCTCTGAGTTCCTATTTTTATTTCTTTTGGATCTATATCTAGAAGTAAATATTGGACATATAGTAATTCTCTGATTTTTTTGAGGGAATGTCATGTTTTCTACAGTGGCTGTGCCATGTTCATTCCTAATAGCAATGCACAAAGTTTCCATTTTCTCTACATCTCACCAACATTGGTTCTGTTCTTTTCTTTTTTAATTACAGCATCCTAATGGGTGTGAAGTAGTATTGTGTGACTCTGATTTGCATTTCCTTAATGATTTAGTGATGTTGAGTATCTTTTCAAATGCTTACTGGGCATTTCTATATTTTCTCTGGAAAAGTATTCGAGTCTTTTGACCATTTTTAATTGGGTTATTTGGGAGATTTTTGCTCTTGAGTTGTAGGAGTTCTTTATATATTATGGATATTAATCCCTTATCAGCTATATGACTGGCACACATTTTCTCCCAGTCCATAGATTATATTTTCACTCTGTTGATAGTGTCCTTTGATACACAAAAGTAACTCTAAACTTTTTGGTTCATATGATAAAGAATTTATACCTCGTCCAGTGTACTCTTACTGTGGTAAATATTATTCTTTTGTTCACATAGACACCCTCCCATCCATCTCAATTATTGTAACCTACTGTGGTGTGGTTTATACCAATGGTCTTTGGTGTTGGCTGCTCTGACCCTTGGGTACCTAGAGAGAAGTGCTCTGTGGGAGAGTGTGCTGCTGATCCAGATGCTAGCTGGCCCTGAATACTGATAACTGTCTGTCAGAAATGCTATTTTCCCTTAGTGTGTTGGTGTCTTTGTTTGGGTTTCCTCAAAGCAGACCCTTAATGAGATACTGGAGGGCCAGGGATTTGGCTCAGTGGTTTCACTGCCTGCTGTGCACACACGAGGACCGGAGTTTGAGCCCTGGTACCCCGGTACCAAAAAAAAAAAAAAAAAAAGAGATACCGGAAACTTACTTTCTACACCTGGAGTGGAGATGCTGGTGCTGTTGTCTGAAGACCAGGCAGATGAGTGTGAGAACTACTGCTCTGAGGTCCTCTGGAAATAGCTGAGTTATCAGATATGTCTTGATCAGATAGCAGAGTTTAATGTAGAATTGAGCTTGTGTCAAATTGGATATAGGTTGATAAGAACATTCTGCAATAGCATGTTGAGGCTTTTTCTTGTGAACTTGAAGAGGCAGAGATTCATGTAATGTTTAGGGTATTTGAAGTTTGCAACAAATTAGACCAGGTAAAATTATATTGCCTTCGAGAATTTGTACTTGTAAATCATCGGTCACCTGGTTAGCACAGCTGTAAAACAGGGATCAGTGCCATTTTTACCTTGTTCTCTTGGGAGTAGTGTTCTAAAGTTGCCATGAATTGAAGCAAGTCATTTTGATAGTGGTTTTGATCATTTTACTGCAAAGTTTTACTGCAGTGTAAGTTTCTTAGCTAATGCTTCATTTGCATCATTTTTGTTTCTGACCACTTGATGGTGGTATATTTTTTTTTGGTACCGGGGGTCGAACTTGGGACCTTGTGCTTGCAAGACAGGCGGCAGAACCACTGAGCTAAATCCTCAGCCCTGATGATGGTATTTTTTTTTGGTACCCGGGATCGAACTCGGGTCCTTGCTGATGATGGTATTTTTTA